ATCAGAGTTTGATAAGAACCCGAATTGTGGATCCTTTGACAATTTGAGTCCAAGAACAACTCTAACTCTTAATCCATATCCTTGATCCGGATGTAATTCTCTTTTCATAAGGAGACTTCAACTCCTTATCCTATATGCAATCTTTTCGATCAGTTCAGAAGATATTCATCAAGATATTGCTGCTTGATCTCAAGGACTTATCTTCTTCACGTGCATCTCATGTGTATGGGCCATAACAACTGTGTCTCCTTAGATGAACCTGGTCCTTTACTGAGTTCGTTTGTCATTCTTCAAAACTTCAACTGATCTTGGGCCAACAACAAGCATAATTTTGTTTCATAAATCTTGCAACATAGACATAACAACTAATTATTACAACATCAACTCATGGGTAGTTAGGTACACCAGAAGAACACCCACCCCGAGCTTGATTACTGTTGCCACCCAAAGGACATTTTCTATGGTCGTATCCTATTTGCGAGCATATACCATATTTGCGCGCATAAACTGTATCACTAACATCCATTTGGTTCCGTATATGCGTTCTCTTCTGCACCTGTTTTGTACGCAAATAGGACTTGTTACACACCATTTTAAATGGTTCAGGAGGCCAATAATGCTCAGCACCCAGTGGCTGCGACTGACCACTATATGTGTTTAGGTACTTGGAAACACTATATTGACGATCAACATAGTTGGTTGCACCTAAACCAACATGTTGAAAGCACTTGATGGCATGTGAGCAAGGCATGTGGTAGATGGACCATTTTCCACAAGAGCATAACCTTGCAGATTCATTTACAGTATGCACATTATTACCCCGATTTTGATGGATAGCGGTGCGAACTTCAAAAACATTTCTTTCATTATCATACTGCAAAAATGAATGCCAATGTGCTCGTCGTCTGTATTTCTCGAATCTCGTCATCGGCACTGGCATAAATTCAACACCTCTTTCCATCAATGACGTTGCAGCCGCAGACCTTTCAACGAACCTCTCCGCCATTTGCTTGAACGACATCCGCACCATGGCTGTGACCGGCAATCCTCTTGCCGACTTCAATAACCCGTTGAAAGACTCCGACACATTTGTAGTCAGAGTTCCCCATCGTCTGCCACCATCCGCATGCAAAGTCCACTTTTCAGGGTCATGTCGCATTAACCAACGATAGGCTGCCTCGTCTTCTTGCCTGATATATTCCATGTGCCTCCCGAATTTATGTTGTTGGTGGTCTGTTGCTGCCATCCACATCAAATCATGCAGATCCTTATTGGGATATGCCTTCTGGAAAATGGCTTTCAAATGCCTAACACAGTAACGATGGTAGGCATAAGGTTCTTGCCATGCAGGCAAGTTCTCCACAGAACTTAAGATACCACCGTGCCGATCAGATATTAGACAGATACCGGAACGTTGTTTCACAACGTGCTCTTTCATATGGTTCAAAAACAACGTCCACGTCTCTTGGCTTTCATTGGCACAAATAGCAAAAGCTAGAGGAAATATCTGTCCATTAGCATCTACTGCCACGACTATTAACAGCTTGATATCGTACTTTCCATAGACATGAGTGCCGTCTATGGATATTACGGGGCGACAATGCGAAAAACCATCAATTGCTGGTTTAAACGCCCAGAACACGTAATTGAATATATATTCTGGTTTACCTGCACTTCGCTCAAGCTTCCACTCAACAACCGTCCCGGGGTTAAAATGCTGTAGTGCAGCCATGTACCTAGGCAGATCTGCAAATGACTTATCCCAGTTACCATACACTATTTCAAACGCTCGTTTGCGCCCGAGAAATGCCTTTCTTTTAGTAATGGTATGGCCATGTTCCTGCTGAACTGATGTAATGCACTCTTTTATTTTATACCTTATGGACTGTTCGATGTGTGGAATAAGAACAAGAGAAATCAAGTCAATATCCAAGTTGAAGTGATTCCCGTTGAATGTGTCCATTTCGCATGTGTGGGTGGGAATGTATTTACCCACTTTCCACATACCTGTCTTCTTCTTGGTCGCACGCAACATCCAATTACATGGCCAAAACCACCTGCGGCAAACAACCTTGTATACCGTCGGACTTGACTCCCATACCTGCATCTCATGACACTCTTTTACGTTGTGCATTTTACAAGCCCTGCTTAGGCGCGCTTTATCAGGAAAAAGCATCCCCTTTGCAAGTACCGTTGGTCTAGACTCATCCCACATTGCTGTCCGGATTTCATCAAAATCCCTTGTGAGAGCTTCCACATCCGGCACGGCTGGCAAGTTATCAATGTAAGGAATCTCTTTTGAATGAAACGGCACTTCGGATTCATACACTCTTCGTCTAGGGGGGTCTCTCTTCAAATCAGGTCCTTCCTCCTCATCCTCTGCATCACCATCCTCACGAGCAAAGGGTGTCTCATCCCCGGATTCATCCGCATTGTTATCGTAATCATTGTTCTGTTCCTGACTCTGTGCATCTGCCAGGTCCCGATGTAATACATCATTTTCGGGCAATTGAGCGAGTTCAACTTGCTCGTTTTCACTACACAACCAACAAAAATATAAGCTACTAAATTAATAAATAATTTCCATATTTTGCGTAAATCACTTCACTTACAAGTCGTAATGTGATAAAATTTCATGATGGACGTTATCAATTAGGTGATGACTACCAGATGGGCCACTTGTAAAATTCATATCCGGCCGGTACCCCCTATTAAATATATGAGCGTTAATACAAACTCAATACAACAAAAATATACATAATTAACACAAATGAAAATTAAAATTTACCACTCGTCTTGTGAGTTATGGAAAGCAGGGTATAAATTATTTTCTCGTTGCTCATTCACCGGCGGTGATAAGTTTAAATCAAAGAAAACTCTTTCATCCGGAACCTGTCCGGCAAAAACTGTTCCAGAATAACCACCCGATGACTGGGGGTTATCTCTACTACGCACAACCTCGTTTTTTGGAATGTCTTCGACCTTCACGTACATCTCCAACATTGTGATTACAAGAAATTCCCGACATTCGTCCGGAGTCCTCAGAAAATCACTCAAAGTTTCATCATCGTCGATGTTAAACTCCGAGTAAAAAGCAACCCCTTGCGGAGTGACGGAATACGGATATCTTCCGATTACTTTAAGTATCACTGAACGTTTCCTCACACTCATTTTTTTGCATAACAACGATATCAATGTATCATACTCCATTGTAAGTGGCAATTTAACATGACACTTAGCAGGTAAACAGTAGCCCACAGAGTTATTCTCCATCACAACCTCACCCCCCCCCCCCCCCAATATAATGAAACTCTTATCCTACGCTCTTCAGACATAATGAAAAATTGCTGGAGAATTTAACAACAATAGACGTTTCAACAAGAGTTAAAAAATTTTTGAATGAATTTCTATATGATTCTAACCTCTTTATATAGGAAATGGCTAGCTGGGAAGTTTTTATATATATATATAGCGCCAAACTAGGTGGCACTATACGCTTTTCAATTATTTAACTCAGAAATTATTGGTGGGGCCAGGAAAAAAGAGTATAGCGCCAGGTATTATGGCGCTATACCTGAGCTGTGTCAGCTTTTGCAGTATAACGCCACAATACCTGGCGCTATACTTAACGGTCCAGTTATTGTTAATATATAGCCCCAGTTATTGTGGCGTTATACATAAAAAAAAAAAGCCACTTTTTTTTTACCACCTATTTGTATAGTTTGAGTCAAAAGGAACCACATTTTAGTTTCGGACTCTTAAATTCACGGCAAGAGCTAGTCTAGCATCTGGGCGAGATGGAGTGAGCTAGTCTAGATCCTCTGCCATGCACGTGCACATGGCATCATCCGTTACGTATGGAACTGGATATGGAAAGTGTCAACTTTGTGTAACAGTGACCACAGGTTGCATGGATTTTCAAAACTGTTGGGCTCTATAATGGTAATTACAAGTTGACTAAAACGTTATACTATTTGTACTGTTAGATATGTCGGAGGCTTTGTATTACAAAATTTATACTTTTTTGGGCTACTAGATATAAATAGTTTCTGGCGCGTATTAAAAATTTTAATTACACGTTGGATTGCCACATTTTTTAAAGGTACAAGAAGAAGTTTTTCAATGTGACAGCAAATGACCTTTTTCTTCTTCATCCAAAATGACAACATATGACTTCATTTTGAATAAAGTATATTACATCAAGTCATATCAATTGGGCCCTAAATGGATAAATGTACTACATCAAAAATTGACCATCACTATCATGCTTAGTAGTACTTGATTGTGATGTCCATCACTAGTAAGTTTTGGAATGTTTGCACTAGTACTTATTATTTGATTACGCTGGGGCTTATCTGATTTGAAGTGCAAACCGTATCAATGGAAAAATGATACTTCCTCTGTTTTAATTTAGATGACACATTTCGCTCAACTCAATATTTTAAAATTAAAATTTTGATATTCAAACACCATACAAAAAGTACTATAAGAAGCAATTTGTCTCATGTAAATATGACAAAAAATAGATTTTTAAATATTGGTCAAACTTCACACAGTTTGGCTCTTGATAAGCGATAAGTGTCATCTAAGAGCCTGTTTGGAAAAGTCGCCAAAATCTGTTTATTTTAAAAAGTACTTTTTCTAAAAGTACTTCTGAAAAAAAAAAATTTGTGTTTGGCCAATTCATTTAAGAAGTACTTTTTACAATATTTGATAAACAAATTGTGTTTGACAATCTTTATAAAAAGTACTTTTGAGTGTCAAGTTACCAAAAAGGATAGTACCAAGCTTTTATAATTATTTTTAAAAAAAAATAAACTTAAATATTTATTATAAGAGACTGTTATTATTTTATATGTCATTTAATTAAAATATAAACATAAAGTAAACATACATACTAAATATTTAAATCATTGTAACATATATAGTTATACCAAAGCAATAATATTATCTAGTATAATTACTTGTTATTTACACCATGAAATAATAAGCAAATTCATTCACACATGATAATATTTCTCAATAATTTCATCTCTAATTCTATCACGCAACGCCTCCATAATAGTAGAAGACTTGTCTAGCATTTCTAAAGGAATACCAGAAGGCCCATCTCCTTCCTCAATCTCTGCAGTAATGTCTTCATTAGCATAATAGTTGAATTCCTTATCAGTAGAAGAACGTCGTCGGATGAAATTATGTATAGCCATGGTAGTTGTAAAAAGATGAATCTGAGTGTCAAACTTGAAATATGGCATTGAGCGTAAAATAGAAAACCTATTTTTCGAGACTCCAAATGTTCTTTCAATTGTACATGGAAGACTGGAGTGAAAAAAATTGAATGGTTCATTTGGATTTCTAAAACTAGAGTTGCGCTTGAAATCTGGGAGATGATGTCGCTCACCCTTATACGGTCCTAAATAGCCCATCATTGTTGGATAGCCTGAATCAACTAAATAATATTTACCTACACCAAGTAAAAAAGAGTTAATTAAGATGAATAAAAATAAAATCTACATATTAAAATAACATAGGCATAGTATTAGTGTTGCTTACTTGATGGAGGACGAGGAAAGTTAAGGTTTTGCCTTCTAAGTGCCTGATCAAATATTCTAGCATCATGTGCAGTACCTTCCCACCCAGGCCATACAAATGTGAAGCACATGTCCCAATCACATACAACCATTATGTTTTGTGAAGTGAAGCCTTTTCTACCAATGTATTTGATTTGTTCCTTAGAGCGAACAATACAAGGCACGTGTGTGCCATCTATAGCTCCAATGCAATTTTTAAAATATGGCCAATACCTGTCATCTTCTCTTATTTTAGGATTAATATCAGTAAAGGTTGGATCTTTTGGCTTAATAATATCCATAGCCAATTTCAAACATGCTATCAAAACATGATGAAAATGTATGCTAACAGTCTCTCCAGAGTGTTGGACTCGTTCTTGAATCATTTGATCATGTCCGACCACCAATAAAAACATAGCAACCATCTTGTAACGATCCGGCTGGTCGTTTAAAGAATTAACACCCCGTTCCCCTATTAACTGCATTCTCGTGTTTGTTTCTGCTATTGTAAGTTGCTGGGAGGATTCGTTTTGAGTTTCGGAGTATTTTGGGACACTTGGTCCCTAAATGAGAGCTTAAGCTTTAGAATTTGGACCGTAGTCGGAGCAGTGTGAAGATGGCCTCGGAATGGAATTCCGTTAGCTCCATTGGGTGATTTCAGGCTTAGGAGCGTGTTCCGATTGTATTTTGGAGGCCAGTAGCTTAATTAGGCTTGAAATGCCGAAAGTTGAATTTTTGAAGTTTCCGGTTCGATAGTGAGATTTTGATATCGGGGTCGGAATGGAATTCTGGAAGTTGGAATAGGTTCGTTGTGTCATTTGGGACGTGTGTGCAAAATTTCAGGTAATTCGGATGAGGTTTGATAGACTTTTTGATCAAAAATGGAAATTTGAAGTTTTGGAATCCTTAGGCTTGAATCCAAGGGTGTTTTTGATGATTCGATGTTATTTTGGGTGTTCTGAAGGTTGGCACAAGTTTGAATAGTGGTATATTACTTGTTCATATTTTTGGTTGAGGTCCCGGGGGCCTCGGGATGTTTTCGGAGGGTTGTCGGAAGAATTGGAAGTTGTTTGGAGCAGCTTCAGCTGCTGATCTTGTGTCATAACCGCACCTGCGGCTGGGTAACGCAGGTGCGTAGCCGCAGAAGCGGTGTTGGCATCACAGAAGCGGAAAAGAGGAGGGCCAGCAGGGACCGCAGAAGCGGGAATCCTTGTTTAATGAAAAGTCGCAGGTGCGACTTGGTCTACGCAGAAGCGGGACCGCATGTGCAGTTTCACTGGTCAGAAAAGGGGCAGAATCGAGGGTTAAGTTTCAAAACCTTAGAAATTGATTTGGGAGCTCGGAACTGGCGATTTTGGAAGAGATTTTCACCTGGGTGTTTTAGGTAAGTAATTCTTACTCGATTTTGATTAATTTCCACGAATCTATGTTTAAATTCATCCTTTAAATTCGAATTTGGGGTGAAAATTTGGAAAAGTTCTTAGGCCTAATTTTGGAGTTTTAATCAAGATTTTGATGTCGGATTGGAGTAATTTTTGTATATATGAACTCGCGAGAGTGTTAGGATTCCGAATTTGTAAATTTTACTCGATCCCGAGACGTGGGCCCGGGAGGCTTTTTGGGCGATTTTCCTAATTTCGCGTATTAGCTTCGAATTAATTAGTTGAATTAGTTACTTGAAGTTATATTTACATTATGCAATTACTTTGAATAGATTTTGGCCATTTGGAGTCGGATACTCGTGGCAAGAACGTGGTATTGAGTTGATTGAGCTGGTTCGAGGTAAGTAGCTTGCCTAACCTTGTGGGGGGGAACTCCCCTTAGGATTTGGTATTGTTGATATATGAAATGCCTTGTACGTGAGGTGACGTGTTCGTACATGTGCTAGTTGTTGAAAATCCGGTTTTCATTAAGTGACTATTACTGTATATTTCTTTCCTGTTTACACTACTTGAAATTTAAGCCTACTGTTAGCTTAGGAAAGCATGTCTACGGGACTGGACCCGATAGATTCCCTCACTACTGAGTATTTACATTTGGGACAACGGATGTGGTATTCTGGGAGATCCCCTGCGCATTATGAGTTGGACTACGGGACGACACCTGGGAGATCCACTAGGTATTTATATATGGGACTACAGGACGGTATCCTGGGAGATCCCCTGCTGTTATTTCTGTGTTGAACTGTATTCCTTCTGTGATTATTTGTCTCTGTTGTAGTAGTTGCTACTCTTATTACCCTGTGTTACTTAAATGTTGTTTCTTTTCCTTATATATTATTGTATATGACCGGTAGGGCCCTGACCTTCCTCGTCACTGCTCGACCGAGGTTAGGCTTGGCACTTACTGGGTACCACTGTGGTGTACTCATGCCCTTTCTTGCACATGTTTTTCGTGTGCAGATCCAGGTACTTCAACTCAGCCCTACTACCCTTGAGGCGAGGCGATTCTCCAGAGACTTTGAGGTATATATGCCGCGTCCGTAGACCGAGGAGTCCCTTTCCATTCTCTCTTGTAGTGATAGCCCTTCTGTCTTTTCTTTTGATTTAGATACTCCGGAGTTAGAGCATTTTGTCGTATTCATAGCTTATGATTCATAGGATTCCGGCTTTTGGGAGTTGTTCGGTTTTGAGATCTTGTATTGTATATGTCAACCGGCATCTTAAACACTTTTATATTTGTTATCTTCGGTTTTATATTAGTTTTCCGCATATGTTTCTTTCTTCCGAAATTGTTAGGCTTACCTAGTCGTAGGGACTAGGTGCCATCACAACATGTTCACGGAGGGCGAACTGGGGTCGTGACAAGTTGGTATCAGAGCTCTAGGTTCATAGGAGTCATGAATCACAAGCCGGTTTATTAGAGTCTCGTGGATCGGTACATAGATGTTTGTACTTATCTACGAGAGGCTATGTAACTGTTAAGAAAAAATTCCACTTCATTTGAATTCCTTGTCGTGCGAGATTTTTGATATCGAAATTCTAAACTTCTGTCTTCTATTCTCTCACAGATGGTGAGGACACGTGCTACTGGAGGTGACCAGACACCCACGCCCCCTACGAGAGCCGTTAGAGGTCGGGGCCGGGGTAGAGGCCGAGGACGCGCACGCAGTGCGGCCAGAGCACCCGCACGAGCTGCTACAGAGGAGCCACCAGCAGTTCCAGCTGGAGCCCAGGCGCCTGACACGCCTACTGCTACTACTACTCCAGCTCTCCAGGAGACTCTTATGCAGTTTATGAGTATGTACACCACTCTAGCTCAGGCAGGGTTGCTTCCCCTTGCTGCAGCCACATCCCAGTCCGGGGGAGGAGCACAGACTCCCGCCGCCCGCACTCCTGAGCAGCTAATGCATGTTGAGCATGTCCCAGAGATTATACTGGCGCAGCTTGTAGCTCCAGCTCAGCCCGAGGAAAGGGCAGTAGCTTCAGAGGAGGAGCAGAAGAGGCTTGAGAGGTTCAAGAAGTATCAGCCTCCTGTATTCAGTGGACTAGCATCAGATGATACTTTGGGATTTCTAGAGGAGTGCTACCGTATCCTCCGTACCATGGGTATATCAGGATCGAGCGGGGTTTCCTTCACTACCTTCCAGCTTCGAGGAGCCGCCTATCAGTGATGGCATGCTTATGAGTTAGACAGTCCGGATGAGGCAACTTCCCTGACTTGGACTCAGTTTTCAGATACGTTCATGAGAGAGTATGTTCCCTAGAGCCTCAGGGATGCATGGAGCGCATTGTTTGAGCATTTGCACCAGGGTACTATGACTGTCTCGGAGTATGCTGTCCGTTTTACTGACTTGGCTAGACATGCACCAGCTTTGGTTTCTACTGTTCGCGAGAAGGTTCGCCGGTTTATTGAGGGGCTCATTCCCAGTATCAGGTCTAGTATGGCACGGGAGTTGGATATGGATATTTCTTATCAGCGGTGGTGAGCATTACTAGGAGAGTAGAGGGTATGCATGCTCGGGACAAAGAGGAGAGGGAGGCCAAGAGGTCTCGAGAGATCGGGCCATTATTCTAGTGCTTGTGCCCCAGCTTCAGCTCGTCATGGTAGGGGTTATATGAGTCGCCCCGTTCATTCAGCTCTTCCAACAGCCAGTGGTATTCCAGCTCCTCCTAGGCCTCAGGAACCTTATTATGCACCTCCAGTATCCAGTGCGCCTCCTGCATGAGGTGCTTCCAGTGGTCGGTCCAGCAGACCTGGCCCGAGCCAATCACATCCACCACGTCCTCCAGAGCTTGTTTTGAGTGTGGTGACACACGCCATGTGGTGAGGGATTGCCCTAGACTTGGGAGGGGTGCACCTCCACAGAATTCTCAGCCATAGCGCGCCCCGCAGAGTTCTCAGGCTATGATCACAGCACCAGTTGCTACCCCACCAGATCAGCCAGCTAGAGAAGGAGGTCGGGGAGGTAAAGGTCGCCCTGGAGGGGGAGGCCAGGCCAGATACTATGCCCTTCCTGCTCGTACTAAAGCTATCGCCTCCGATTCTGTCATCACAGGTATTATCCTGGTCTGTCATAGAGATGAATCAGTTCTATTCGATCCAGGATCCACTCATTCTTATGTGTCCTCTTATTTTGCCCTATATTTGGGCGTATCTCGGGATTCCTTGAGTTCTCCTGTTTATGTTTCTACTCCTGTTGGGGATTCTCTTATTGTGGACCGTATTTATCGGTCGTGTTTGATTGCTCTTAGTGGTTGAGACCAGAGACGATTTGTTATTGCTCAGCATGGTAGACTTTGATGTTATTCTAGCCATGGACTGGTTGTCGCCCCATTATGTTATTCTTAATTGTCACACGAAAACCGTGACGCTGGCTATGCCAGGTATACCCCGAGTAGAGTAGAGGGGTACCTTAGATCGTACTTCCAGTAGAGTTATTTCATTCCTTAAGGCTCAGCGTATGGTTGAGAAGGGGTGTGACGCGTATCTAGTTTATGTGAGAGATGTCAGTATTGACACCCCTACAGTTGATTCAGTCCCAATAGTTCGATATTTCTCTGATGTGTTTCCAGCTGATCTTCCGGGCATGCCGCCCGATAGAGATATTGATTTTGGCATTGATCTGTTGCCGGGCACTCAGCCCATTTCTATTCCTCCGTACCGTATGGCTCCTCCTGAGTTGAAGGAGCAGTTACAGGAACTGCTTGATAAGGGTTTCATTCGGCCCAGTGTATCACCTTGGGGGTGCTCCTGTCTTGTTTGTGAAGAAGAAGGATGGTTCTATGCGTATGTGTATTGATTATCGCCAGTTGAACAAGGTTACAGTGAAGAACCGTTATCCTTTGCCTCGTATTGATGACCTGTTTGATCAGTTACAGGGTGCTCGTGTGTTTTCTAAGATTGACTTGCGTTCAAGTTATCATCAGTTGAAGATTTGGGAGCTAGATATCCCGAAGACTGCCTTCAGGACTCGGTATGGTCATTACGAGTTCCTTGTTATATCATTTGGGCTGACCAATGCCCCAGCAGCCTTTATGTATTT